CCCCAAAACCCCAAAACCCCAAAACCCCAAAACCCCGTGATATTAATACCTTGTAGAAAACTGGGAATTAAAATGTTTACAAAATTCATAATTGCTAATATTGTTCAGTTGGTCGTACTGTCAATCTTGATTTTGAGCTGCATTACTGAAGCAAGAGAAATGCAAAGAGAAGTTGATACATGGGAAGACATCTTAGCCAGGAACCTTGAGATCTATATTCCTCCTCCAGACCAAGAATGATCATCTCACAAAACTTGTAACTTATGTTATGAAGACAGTTCCTGCACATACATTGCTGGTGCGTGAAGTTCAGATCTTATGAATGAGCTTTGGGATGTAAGTATCAATCTAGCTTGATTTCTGAAATCCTAGCACCTTCTCTTATTGGTTTCCTTACAGTCAACTAAATCCTAGTGTTCAAGTAAACGCAAAATTTTAAGATGCACACATTTTGAATAAGTTACAATAAATATTGGTAGTAAAAGCCTGGAAAGATTCCTGAAAAGCTCTCAAATTTATACTGGAAATTATAACGCTTGGCAGTAATTTCACAAAGCTAATATCCATTAAAACTCTCTTTCCACTCATAAATATACTTGGACACTCATCTAATAAGAGGCAGAATGTTTAGGTATCCTAGGTATAAATTTCGGCCAGAAATTCAGGCGAAATCTCCTCGCTTCTTCTTCAAACCTGATCATATTCTTTCTGGCTCAGGAAGGTGTTTTAGTGACAATAGAGTTTAGATCGTCTTCATACCTTCAGTAATGCATCTCTCTGCATTCGTTCAGAAAAGAAATTCCAAAAATGGCGATTCTGATTTAGTTAATTTCTGAGCCGAATTGAAGTTTTATTAAAAAGAAAGACCCCAAGTTATTAACATATTATAGGAAGACTATGACCAAGAAGTAGCAGCTGGATATTGCCAAAGCGCTATAGAACAAGGATCTATTGTACTTGAAGATATCACTGGCCAAACTATTGAAATGAAAACACTGGATGGAGCAACCTCCACTAATAACTCCATCTGTGAATGGGTTCTTGAGATGAATTCTGATAAAACTGTAAATTTAGAAATCGAAAGAAGCTCCGAAATCTATGAAGAAATTTTACTCGAGTATGAGAAATTGAGTGGAGAGAAAATAGAAATGACTAATAAAGACCTATACCAATGAGGTGATGGGGCTTATGTTTCAGAACTAACAGAGATCAAATCCTTCAAGATCAGAGTCCAGATCTTAAATGATTCCTCAGCATACACCATTCTTCTTTCTCAGACTGGAATAGATTATTCATATCCAGCTGTATTCACTAGGAACAAGGCCCTTGTGGGGTACATTTCGGTAATGCTGATGATACTCTTCATGCTTCTGGTGGTATCTTTAATAGTATTTTCCTTCTTCAAAGACAATTCATGTTTCAAGAATTCACAACAGAAATACCACGATATGCTCAGAAATACAGATAAGAGGAATAAGGTCCAAATTGATCGAGTCATGGACTCCATGGTTAGTGGAGAGTTTAGAGCTATTAGAATTAAATTTGTAGACAAGCACTGTGCTATCTGATTTGAAGAATTTAGAGGGATGCATCAAGTCCATCTGGTCAATGAATGACTTCACTTGTTTCACACAGAGTGTTTATACAACTGGTACCTGACTATCGCTAGGACAAGGAAGCTTGCTTGACCCCAATGCGATACCCAAACCCTCCTCACCCAGTCTCCTCCCCCTCCTCACCTCTCCATCACCAAAGACCTTTGCCTCATAACCCCTCTTTCCGACCCCACTTCCCAGCTCCCTTCCCCTCAAGTCTCAACATCCCGCAGAAAATTCTCTTAAATTTTAATCAAAAAAGTGAGTACCCCCAGGGGTTTTGGGGTTTTGGGGTTTTGGGGTTTTGGGG